TCGTTTTGACGATCCCCCCCGATGTGCCGAATATCGTGACCGTACGTCGAGCGGTTAAGATTTGTGCCCAACTGTTGACGCACGGACGGACGCACGGACGGACGGACGCACGGACGGACGATCAAGCGATTCTACAAGCTGCATCTGACTATGTCAGATGAGCTAAAAACGAAACAGCCAAAAAAAATTTATATCATCTTTATGATATATTTCATATATCATATCATCATGAATGGCTCCATATCATAAATATACGATCGCTCACCAATCAAAATGAAAAAACAATATGTGACATGTAGTATGCCACACAGGTGGCCACTCAGTAACGAGCGAACAAGATAACGATTCCCAATCACTCACCGATATTGGTAGTTATGATAGAAGGCTTTCCCGACCCGACCTGCACTTTCGCCGGTGCCGTCACAGTCGTCGTCGTGGTTACGGCCGCTGTTTTCGCTACGGTAGTGGTTGCAGCAGCTGTAGTAGTCACTGGGGTCAAGCTGCGTGTTGTTGTGACTGGACCCTGCGGTCTGGTAGGCGGCTCTTGTGATCTCGAACCAAACTCTATGTACTGTGGGATAAACCCAAAACACAAGTTCCTTTTACTTGCCTATTTCACAATGTCTCAAATGCAACGATGATAATCACATATACCGTATTTCACAGCTTATAGGACACACCTTTTCACTCAGAAAATGTCTCCAAAAACCACACTGCGCACAATAAACAAAAGTTAAGTGTTGTCACGGATATTACAGCTAAGACTGTTTAGCTGTGGTACGATATAATATACACCTCTATACAGCTAATCTCCTATGCACTATAATATACTCGCCTATAGTATACTGCTCTACTAGTACTATGCACTATAATATACTCTCCTATAGTATACTGCTCTCCTATGCACTATAATATACTCTCCTATAGTATACTGCTCTCCTATGCACTATAATATACTCTCCTATAGTAATACTCTCCTATAGTATACTGCTCTCCTATGCACTATAATATACTCTCCTATAGTATACTGCTCTCCTATGCACTATAATATACTCTCCTATAGTACACTGCTCTCCTTTGTGCTAGAGCATTTTATATACAACAAGATACAGCCATTTTTTATGGGTTTGTAATCTGTGAGCTGCTCAACAAAGGTACCAAACAACATTTTCTCTAGCAAGGTTAAACTAACGAAAAGAATGCATCAAACACTATATATTACAACCACTAAATTTCCACACTCGATGAAATAGCCACGATACCTCAATCAGGTGCTGTGGAAACTCGCTGAAGTGGGGAATGGCCGCGAGGTGTTGGCAATACTGTGGGTAGTCCTTCAGCCGAGACTTGAAGCGATCGAGTGCCGTAATACCGAACATGTACATCTTGCTCTGGTGTGCCTTGCGCAATGCTTCCAGGACGTACCGTAGCGCGATTCCCAGCAGAGTCATGTATCTAAAATTCAGACAGCAAACGTTCACCCTCACTCGTTCAGTCGACTCACGGTCTGCTTTTACACTTACACAACGACCCCGCCACTTACTACCACCATGCGAAAAAAACCACGAGATAGAGCTACCGACGTAACGAGTTTGCTCTTACACTTGCACGGCGACTCTTTGTTTACTACCGCCACACAAAGAAAAACCGACGAGCTACCGATGTGACGAGTTTGCTCTTACACTTGCACGGCGACTCTTTGTTTACTACCGCACACAAAGAAAAATTGGCGAGCTACCGATGTAACGAGTTTGCTCTTACACTTACACAATGAGCCATTGCACACTGACGCGACGACGACCGGCGACAACCTCGACGACAAAAATATTTAGAAACGTTTCTATTTCCCAGCGACTTTCGCCGGCGACACTTTACAAATGGCCAATCACAGCAGTTTCCATCGGCACGTGACATCGCCATTACGTCATAAAATTATAAACCAATGCTAGCCAGGAAGTAGACTGGTCCCCAGCGCTAAACTCGCACCGCCTGTCCGAAACAGTGGGGCCGCGAACCCATCTAACCAAAACGTGCAAGGCTACGGTCAGCCATCAGACATGATTATTGTTTACGTTCGTATAATATGCTGCGTATATATTACTTTATTATATTCTCGTTATACATAGAGCGTTTTTACAGCAATTTATTTAAAAGCAGCAGCAGGAGTTTTTTGCGTTTGCTCATGAGTGGCACTGTGGTGAACTTTGTCGTTACGGTCGGTCGTTGTCGCTGCAGTGTGGCTGCGCCAGTCGCCGCGACTTTGTCGTTTGTCGTTACGGTCGGTCGTTGTCGCTGCAGTGTGGCTGCGCCAGTCGCCGCGACTTTGTCGTTTGTCGTTACGGTCGGTCGCTGTCGCTGCAGTGTGGCTGCGCCAGTCGCCGCGACTTTGTCGTTTGTCGTTACGGTCGGTCGCTGTCGCTGCAGTGTGTCTTGGCCTTAACCCTAACCCTAACTCTCATCTCTGCAGCAGGCCAGGCTTCACAGTCCGAGAAAACCACGGGGCCTAAAAAAAGGCCGCGTAATTTACCCGACGGGGCTGATTTTTTTTAAACTGATGAATTACGTAATAAATGCTATGAAATCTCAAAATTTGACGAAAAAAACCCGTGGACACCGGAGACGGAGCTGTTTAGGGGGCTTGGGCCCAACGGCCCCCTGTGAAAAGGCGAAGCCTGCAGCAGGCACGTAAACGAGGCCATCGTCTCACGCGCATCTCACCTGACTGTTGACAGAGATGTGTGGTGCCAGGCCGCCGAGCGTCGCCGTGTTGATGTCGTGGAACGTGTACTGCAGCTGCGGCAGCGACGGTGGCGTCGTCGCCGCCGCCACGGTCGCCGCCGCCGCCGTCGTCGCCACCGCCGTGGCGACCGTCGTGACGATGGGCGCCACGGAGGTCACAGGCGGACTCTCCACCATCGGTGGAATCAACTCCTCCTTGCCCTTGGGGTTCGACAGCTGCAGTTCTATCTTTTCCATCTTCGAGCCATCGATCAGCTGGTTACCGGGCTTCAGTTCCTGCAGATCAATCAACACTGACATTGATATTGATGCACACACGCAGAGACGTCAATGACGTATCAAGTACGCGCCGATTACATTATGGCATATAACACGACTGTGCTAAAAACAATTCTACGGAAAGCTCAGGGTTGTGAATATGTGATAGCGATAAAGGGTTATGACTTACAGTGATCTCCAGATCGAGCGTCTTGCATAGAACTTCGATCTCGAACTTAAGGTTGAGCTTCAAGTCGGCCTCCTGGTGTAACTCAGCCAACAGGTTCATGATGCCCATCGTCCAGGGGTTAGGCGGCTTGAACACCTGGACAACAATAAAGCACACACATAGCATCTACCCGTCAGTACGTGTAGCTGGCTTACAGGCAAATACCATTTACATGTAATTTTAACACGTAATTTTATTCAAAGCGTCAATTAACTGATTAAAACAGAACATTATTCGGTAAACTAGATGAGCATTACCTTGCTCTTGGCACAAGATTCCAGAACCTTGGCGACAAATGGCACAACGTACAGAAGTTCCTGCTGGCCTTTGAAATACGCCTCCAAGACCAGGGACTTGATGTCAATGTCCTAAAGAGAAAACACATGCACCATAGTGTTAACATGGTAAAAATGTACCCATTCCAAACAAAATACAGATCAAGGCAAAGTAACTATAGTCGCGACGAAATACGGTTGATCTGCAAGCAGTTTAGCAGTTAAAATTCGTCATTCTGTGGTCATTCTCACCAGCTGCCATATTGGTTTACTCTTTGCCAGGGTAAGCATGCCCAACCAATGGCCCAGGTTCTTCAGAAGAGATCTGTCAGAGAAGTTGGCAATTCCTTTGTCACTGCTGAGTAGCACCTGTAAAATATATGCCATACGAAAATGAATATATATATATAACATAAATAAATAAAAAATAAAAAAATAAAAAAAAATAAAATATATATGAAAATATATGCCATATGAAAATGGTGTAACAGTTATGCTTGTTATGCATCTTCGTGATATCTGCAATTAGTAGAACGCTAACTAAACTGGCACCTATTCAAAAGCCAACCACATCCGAGCTCAGTTAAGCACTTGCCTTGCATATTGCGATGCTACCATGATTAGATCACAAGAAATACTTTACGGTGCAAAATTTCTACACGAATATCAATACTCACAGTGAACAATATACTTAATACTAATCTCTGCGAACAGCGACTTCACCTTTATGTTGCGAAACGACTCTGCGGTCACTTGTTTGGTCAGCTCCGGCCACTTCATCACGTCCAAAAAGTTGGAGTAGAGCGGATGAAAGTTTGGCTCGATGCTAGCGCGTTTCATCACCAGGTACTGCGAGATCCACGGCATATGTTCGTCTACAACGATCTCCTTCAGCTCTTCACACTGCGAACAATAAATGCGGGAAGCGTGAGAGTGATAACACAAGCGGTGGCATGTGTGTATATAGGTAATATACCCAAAAAATATACAAAATCAATAAATATTGGTAAAATATACCCACTGAGCCAAACAGCTCATCTAGAGTTAGAACGTAGAAATAGTAATAAAAAACATTAGTTTGCTGCACAATAATGCAGATGCAATAATTGCTGCACAAGAGTGTGATTCCCGCAGTATAAAAGTAGATAAGAAGTGATTAGGGCAATAAAAAATCACAAATAATTGCAACAAGCAAAACATAAAAAACTGGTACATTCACGATTGTAAACATTAAACAATAAGCTGATACCACAAATACCATTGCACATTTCCAAGGCTTGACTACATATACATTTTTGTCGCAGAGAAATAATGGTTTTAATACCACTTTTGTATTGTCTTTACTTTCAGATAACTGTTAAATAAGTAAGCAAACCTCTCACGTTCTTATACAATCTAATATATCTAGCGCCAGTTGCCACAACATAAACTAGACAGAGGGCACTCACGGAGAGTGCATACCTCCGCCAGAATGTAACATGTATGTGTATAACAGCTGGGTCGCCGCTCGCTGCTGGCTGCTGCTGACTCGACGCCCTAAGGCGAGCTGCTGCTGACTGGACGCCCTAAGGCGAGCTGCTGCTGACT